CCGTTAATCATTATATAGCGTCCTTCTTTGTCTTTTATGGTGAATTTTGTTTTAAAGTCTATTTTATCTGAGATTAGTTTTGCCACTCCTGCTCTTTTTTGGTAGTTGTTAGCTTGATATATTTTTTCCAACCTTTGATTTTTAATAAATTCACATCTTTGTTTCTAAGGTGTGTCTCTTGTTGACAGCATATTGATGGGTCCTTTTTTTTAATCTGTTGTGTCACTCTCCATCTCTTTATGGGTTCATTGAGGCCATTTACATTCAGTGTAATTATTGATATATGTGAGTGTATTCCTCTCATGTTGTAGTGCTTTTTTGTGGTGCTGGTGTTTTCTTTGTTCCTCTTGCTCTCCTGCGTTGAATTCCTTTTGTTTGTGGATTTGTTTTCATTTCTTTTGATTTCGTAGGTTATGTTTTTACAGAGACTTTATGTTTTTCCTCTTTATTTTTATGAGTATGTTTGTTAACTTTCTTTGTGTTTACCGTGAAATTTACCCTTATGTTTCTAAGTTTGAAGCAGTGTATTATTACTTGGTATCGCCTTGCCTTTCTCTCCATTAGAAGGTTCTATACCTACACGGTGTATTCCTTCTTTTATTGTTCTGATGTTGTTGTTATTTACAGATTAACTGCTGTGATTCCCTGTTTATTTTATTTTTTTTGGTTTTGGATAGTTCTTGAGAGTTCATCTCATGGAGTGGTATCTGGCTGGTACGATCCTGTGTCTTAGATTCAACCTGTGAGCTGACATTGTTTGTTCTTAGATCAGAGGACGCCCTTTAATAATTCTTGTAAGTTTGGTTTTGTTTTTACATATTCCCTTAATTTCTGTTTATCTGGAAATGTCCTAATTCACCATCATATTTGAACAAGAGTTTTACAGGATATATTATTCTTGGCTGGCAATTTTTTTCTTTCAAGATTTTATATATGTCATCCCATTGCCTTCTTGCCTGCATGTTTCTACTGAATAATCTGAGCTTAGTCTTATCGTTTCTTCTCTGTTTGTGACTCCTTGTTTTTCACGAGCTGCTCTCAGAATTTTTTGTTTGTCTTTGGTTTTGGCGAGTGTGATTATGATATGCCTTGGTGATTTTCTTTTGGGGTCTATCCTATATGGGGTTCATTGCGCTTCTTGGATGGCCAGCTTTTCGTCTTTCATGATATTGGGGAAGTTTCTGGCAGCAGTTCTTCAGTGAGCCTCTCTGTGTTTTCTGTTTTCTCCCCCTGTTCTGGAACTCTGATCACTCGTGAATTTTTGCTTTTGATTGTATCCCACATAATTCTCAGGGTTTCTTCATTTTTCTTCATTCTTTTTACTGAGTTTTCCTCAAACACAGTTGTATCCAAGTGTTTGTGTTCAATTACGGTGATCCTATCTTCCACTGTTTCACATCTGCTCCTCAGCTCTTCTCAGACACTGTCCATTTCTGTAATCTTGTTGTTTATCTTTTAGATTTCTAATTGTTGTTTTTGTATAATTTCTAGTTGTGAATTTATTTTGGAATTTTGTTCCTGCATTATTTTCCTGAATTGTTCCATTTTTTTGGTCTCTATTTTCCATGAATTTGTTTGCCTTTTCCATGAATTTGTCTATTTTTTCCTCATTTTTGTTTGCTTTTTGCTTCAACTCTTGGATAATTCTGAGTATTAGAGTTTGAATTCCCTATCAGGTAATTCTAGTGCGTTTTCTTCTACTGGAAAGTTACCTGTTGTTTTATCTTAGATGCCTGCTGGAACCATCCTGTCCTGTTTTTATAAATGTTTTGATATTGTCTCCTGTCTTCGGGGCGTTCAATAGTTATTTTTCTTGTTTATTGATTGTAGATTTGTTTGTTTCATCCTTTTTTTTTTTAATTTCAGTATGTCCGAGCAGACAGGCTGTGTTTTCTTTGTTGTTTGCTTGTCTGTGGGTACGATACTTTTTGTCTCCTCCAATTGCCAGTGTCAGTCACTCAGATATGGTACAGCAGGGCAGGTCTAACTGAAGAGGAGTTGCTGGGATGCGTTGTTTGTGGCACTTACTACAGCTACCAGGGCAGATCAGTAATCAGTGCAGGGTAGGTTCTGGTAGCCTGTGCCTGTGCTGCTTGGTAGTGTGATGTTAAGTGCACGGTGCATGTAGGCAGGATGGAGTAGGGAGATTGTGATGTGTGGAGCTAAGATGGGTATGGGAGAGTAGAGAGAGGAACAGGAGCCAAAAACATACAAACACAGAAAAAAGAGTGCTAGGGGAGCTTGCCATTGGAGTGCAGAGATGAGAGACTATGAAATGGAGAAAAACAAAAAGGGGAAGAAAAAAAAAGAGAAGAAAATAATGAGTAAATAAAAATTAGAAAGAAAAAAGAACAGCAAAGCTCCCAGGGATCCCACCGGTGTGGCTGTGAGGTCTGGGGAAGTTGTTCCCAGGTGTTGAAGTACAGCCTGGCTAGAAGGCATAGAGGTGTCACTCAGTGCCAGGTATTCAGGGGACAGGAAGAGAAGGAAGGTATAGAGAGATGACAAACTGAGTAATGAAGACAAAAAGGGAATAGGAGGGAAAAGAAAACAAAACAAATTTTTTAAAAACAACAATAAAAACCCTCCAAAAAACAGAAAAAAGAAAACCCACAAAAAAATAAATGCTTTCAGGGATCCCTGTGTGCATCTGTGCAAGCTGAGAGGGTAAGTCCCAAGCCATGCAGCACTACCCGGCCAGAATGGGTTCCCAACTCGAGAAAAGAAAAAGAAAACAAACAAACAACTCAAAACAAACAAAAAAGCCCCAGGATCCCACCAATGTGGCAATACGGACCGGGAAGCAGTTCCACACTCAAGCAGAGCTCCATAGCACCTCAGGAAGAAGCAGAGATGGTGCACGGAGCCAGGTATTTGAGAGAAAGGATGGGGAGGTGGTGAGAGGTAAGGAAGAAATCTAAAGAAGCAGAAAAAAGCAACACCAGCAGCCAACAAAAGGCACTCAGGGAGTCAGCCAGTGTGTGCGGGTGGAATCTGGGTGACACTGGGGTTAAGCTGGTGCTTCCTGGCCAAAAGACTGTGGCTACCGGAAGCAGAGGAGGCTAAGTGGGGATGAATAAGGGTGGGGGGTGGGAAAGCCTGTATTGCTGGTTACCAGTTGTTCTGTCTCCTTCTGGAAGCTCTGTGAAGCTGCTTTCTCGTACCCCCTGTTTGCTGTGTCTGGTGGAGTCAAAGATGGCGTATTCGTGCTGTGGTAGCTGATAGGGGATCTCTGCATGTATCTCTCCTCTCTCTATATTCTCGATCCGTTTCTTATCCCATTTGGTGCTTGGCTGGGTTCTTTATCTCTTCATTTGATGCTTATGGTTTCAGGACTGGCGTGTGACTCTGTTTGGCTTAGTTTTTCTGATCTTTGCCTTGGAGGGACAGCGTGGTGCTTCTGACTATAGTGCCATGTTGCCCGGAGGTTCTGCCCTGTGTATTTTTATTACCACTGTCAGTTTTGTTCACTTCTGTTGTACTGAAAATTTTATGTTTAAAAAGAATTTTGCAAACATTGGAAAATGTGCATTTGAGTTAGGGTGTATGTTTGTATAAATGAGATGAAGTCTCGCCGTCCGCACTAGCAGAATTTTGGCTGGACTTCTTCCAAGACATATTATCAGGAGGGACCAGTCCCTGGAGAAAGACATCATGCTTGGTAAAGTAGAGGGTCAGCGAAAAAGAGGAAGACTCTCAACAAGATGGATTGACACAGTGTCTTCAACAGTGGGCTCAAACATAGCAAGGATTGTGAGGATGTTGTAGGGCTGAGCAGCATTTCGTTGTGTTATACATAATGTCACTACGAATCAAAACCGACTCAATGGCACCTAACAACAACATACATTTGTGAGCAGCTTCGATTAGAAGTCTTGTCACTTGGCTAGAAATAGTGCCTCATTAAATGCTAACATGTAGTTAGCAAAATATTTTATAGAAAACATTGTATTTAATCATATCCAATAAAAATATTTATTGAGATGAAAATTTTATAGTGCAGGAAAAAAAAATTCTTATTCCTGAAGGAGTTTCTCTACAAGTTCAATATACTCTCTCAATATTCAGGAAAAAAGCATAGGTAATACAGTGGGAGGCAAAAATGTCTCTGCATCAAATCATCTTTTACCTCAAATTGAAAATATCTATTAAATTACTAGAGTACTTTCATTTGCTATCTGCGTAAAATTTTTCTGTTGGAGTAACAACTGATCCAGTTATTTCAGTATGAAAAGAACACATGACACTTTCTTTATACTATACTATAAGCATCTAGTTGTTAATAAATATTTAATTATCCAGAAGGTGAAAGGTAGTTCTAGGAATTCTCACTGAGAAGTAGGAGATAAGTTTCCCGGCTGCCCCACTGAAACTCACTACTTGACCCTCAGATTATTTTAAATAGGAAGAAGTTTAGATGAATAATAGTATGTATGTTTAAAAAAAAATCAACTAAAATATTTTTCAATCTAACCACTTGAGAAGATGTTGTGAAGTTAAAAATGGGTGGCATAATTCACCATACCCCAGCCAGTTTGTAGAGCTGTTTGGTGTGTGTGTGTGTTTGTTTTTTTCTGTTTGAACAGAGTGCACAGCAATGTAAGCATTGCTTAATCATGTGTCACGCAACTTTAAACACTGGCCAGTTTCCTGAAGTGTTTTAGACACAGACACCCACACTCTTCCACCACACTCTCACCTGTCTCTTGGGGTTCACTGCTTAATGAACTGTGAGCCCATTTACTTCCTCTGGGCCGGTGAATACTGTACCTGTGTACGTGCAGATCGGCTGCTTGGAAACCTCTGGCACCAGGTCACATGAGACGTGCTATGAGTGTGGAGGTGCATTTTTCTTCTCTTTCTTCTGCTCTTTCTCTCTCTCTCTCTCTTTTTCTTTTAACTGAGGAAGTGCTGCAGGTTCACAGGTCTTTGCAGCCTCAAATCTGAAAACTTTGGACTCCGGACTTTTCACTGTGGGTTTATCTTTGAATTTATCTTAGGGTTCCACACCTCCTTTCAAGGCTGCAGCTTTGGGCTTTCCTGACGAGCAAGGAGCTTTTGAGGCCACAGTGGAGAAAACGAGGCCCGAGCCTGCTGAGGTCCTCCATGTCTGCAAGACCCAGGTAGCCGAGCTAGAGGAACGGCTGGACCAAGCCAGCATGGCATTTGAGCCGGAAACATTAAACGCTAGCATGCAGCAGGTGGTGGAACAGCAGTTGGTCACGTGCCAGGTAAGACTGATGGGTCAGAGTTTATGATTTGCCACTTCCCAGGATTAGATGCATTTTTCTTAAATCAACAGTGTGTTTCTTCGTGTTATTTGGCTGCTGTAATGATCTTGGCCTCAACTTACAGTTCTCAGGGTGACTCTTTGAAATTGTTTGTAAAAGCAATATTCTTGAGAAGACAGTAGTGAATAAGAGCTCAGAATCTAGAGTCCGAATCCTGGACTATGAACTTGGGGAAGTCACTTAACTTCTCAGCTTTGCTTTCCTCATGTATAGAATTGGAAAATATAATAGGTTAGTTCATAGAGGTTTTGCTGGATTAAATAAGACATAAAAATCAGTGTTTATCACATAAAATGGAGCCCTGGTGACAAAGTGGTTAAGTGATAAAGCTACTAACCAAAAGGTCAGCAGTTCAAATCTACCAGCTACTCCTTGGAAACCCTATGGGGCAGTTCTACTCTGTCCTATAAGGTCACTGTGAGTCGGAATTGACTCTACACCGGTGGGTTTCTTGGTCACATAAAAAGTGATCAATAAATGTTGGCTGTTATTTTTATTTATAATAATAACTACTTTGAATATACATTCATCAGACATGAAAGTGAATGTCCTGATTTGCAAGATTGCAGATACAGCATAAAAAGGCTTTGCTGACATTTTACTACAAATGCTGCTAGTCTTGCGTGGGTTGGCTGTCTATGTAATTTCCAATTAAAATGACATTTGCCATTTCAGACTCAATTTAAATATATAGAGGAGTTTTGGGAAATAAGGCTGGTAGAAACAAAGAGGCAACATGGCATTCCTAAAAGCACACTGAACAAGGAACCAGGAACTATGAGTTTGAGTTTCTTTTCTCCCACTCTCTAGTTGCCTGACTTAGGGCAGAATGCTCAGACTCACCCATCCTCTGTGACGATCCTTTGTGAAATGAAAAGGGTGGCTGGAGTGCTCACTAAAGCCTTATGCATGTACTCAGAAAATTGGATAAAATTAACTTGATGCAGTCTCATAGGGATTTCATTAACATGTAGTTCTAATATAGCATTGATAATTTAGCCGAAGCTTTGCTAGTTTATAATTTAACTGGAACTTGGCGTTCTTTCTATGAGCATGGTGCTTTGCTTTTTAGGGATTAATTTCCAGTGGACCAATGTTTATCTACTTCATTTTTTTTTGTTGTACTTTAGATGAAGGTTTACAGAACAAATTCTTTCTCATTAAACAGTTAATACACATATTGTTTTATGACAATGGTTAACTACTCCACGACATGTCCCTTCTCAACCCTGGGTTCCCTATTACCAGCTTTCCTGTCCTCTCCTGCCTTCTAGTCCTTGTCCCTGGACCGCTGTGCCTCATTAGTCCCATTTTGTTGTATGAGGCTGTCCAATCCCTGGCTGAACGGTGAACTTCGGGAGTGACTTCACCACTGAGCTAAAAGAGTGTCCGCGGGCCATACTCTCAAGGGTTTCTCCAGTCTGTCAGGCCAGTAAACGTGTTTTTTTTTTACTGTTGTGAGTTAGAATTTTGTTTCGTGCCTCCTTTTGAATCTGGCTTGAATTTCTGGCAGTTCCCTATGGATGCACTGCTGCAACTGTTTTTGAATTATCTTCAGCAAAATTTTATTTGCGTGTAATATAATATTGTTCAGTAATTTCTGCATTCTGTTGGATCACTTTCTTTGGAATAGTCATGTATATGGATCTCTTCCAGTCGGTTGCCCAGGTAGCTATCTTCCAAATTTCTTGGCATAGACAAGTGAGCCCTTCCAGTGTTGCATCCTTTGGTGAAACATCTCAACTGGTATTCTGTCAATTCTTCGAGCCTTGCTTTTCACCAGTGCCTTCAGTGTAGCTTGGACTCGTTCCTTCAGTATTATCAGTTCTTGATCATATGCTACCTCCTGAAATGGCTGAACATCGACCAATTCTTTTTGGTACAGTGACTCTGTGTATTCCTTCCATCTTCTTTTGATGCTTACTGTGTAATTAAATATTTTGCGCATAGAATTCTTCAGTATTGCAATTCAAGGCTTGAATTATTTCTTCAGTTCTTTCAGCTTGAAAAATGCCAGGCGTGTTCTTCCCTTTTGGTTTTCTAACTCTAGGTCTTTACACATTTCATTATAATACTTCACTTTGTTTTCTCATGCTGCCCTTTGAAATCTTCTATTCAGTTCTTTTCCTTTATCAATTTTTTCCATTCGCCTTAACTACTCTATGATCAAGAGCAAGTTTCAGAGTCTCTTCTGACATCTGTTTTGGTCTTTTTTTTCTTTCCTGGCTTTTTAATGACCTTTTGCTTTCTTCATGTATGATGTCCTTGATGTTATCCCATAACTCGTCTGATATTCTGCCATTACTGTTCAATCCTTCAAATCTGTTTTTGAGATGGTCTCTAACTTCAGGTGGGATATACTCAAGGTTGCACTTTGGCTCTTGTGGACTTGTTTTAATTTTCTTCAGCGTCAGCTTGAACTTTCATATGAGCAATAGATGGTCAGTTACGCAGTCGGCCCTTGTCCTTGTTCTGACTGATGGTAACGAGCTTCTCCAGTGTCTCTTTCCACAGATGTAGTTAATTTGATTCCTGTGTATTCCATCTGGTGAGGTCTGTGGACATAGTTGCCATTTATGTTGTTATAAAAAGGTATTTTCAAGGAATAGTTCATTGGTCTTGCAAAATTCCATCATGTAATCTCCTGCGTCATTTCTTTCACCAAGGCTATATTTTCCAACTACCCATCCTTCTTTTGTGTTTTCAACCTTTCACATTCCAATCACCAGTAAGTATCAATGCATCTTGATTGCATGTTTGATCAATTTCAAACTGTAGAAATGGTAAAAAAACAAACAAACTTCAATTTCCTCATCTTTGGCATTAGTGGTTGCGCATAAATTTGAATAATAGTTCTTTAAGTGGTCTTCCTTGCAGGCATATGGATATTATGCTATCACTGACAGCATTGTACTTCAGGATAGTTTTTGAAATGTTCTTTTTGATGATGACGGATGCCATTCCTCTTTAATTTGTCATTCCCTGCATAGTAGACCATGTGACTGTCTGATTCAAAATGGCCGATACCAGTCAGCTCACTAATGCCTAGGATATCTGTCTTTAAGTGTTCTATTTCATTTTTAACAACTTCCAGTTTTCCTAGATTCATACTTCATGCATTCCACATTCCAATTATTAATTGATTTTTGTGGCTGTTTCTTCTCACTTTGAGTCGTGCCAAATCAGCAAATGAAGATCCCAAAAGCTTTAGTCTATCCACTTCGTTAAGGTCAACTCTACTTTGTGGAGGCAGCTCTTCCCCAGTCCTATTTTGAGTGTCTTCCAACCTGAGGGGCTCATATTCCCGCATTATACTAGATGGTGTTCCACTGCTATTCATAAGGTTTATACTGGCCAATTTTTTTAGAAGTAGATCGCCAGGTCCTGCTTCCTAGTCTGTCTTAGTCTGGAACCTCTGCTGAAACCTGTCTGCCATGGGTGACCCTGCTGATATTTGACTTGTAGGATTGTTAGCTTCCTTTGTGGTAACCTTAATATTTATTCCTATTTTTCTAAGTTTATACTAGTCTTTTATTTCTTTATATTGCCTTGACTTCCTCTCCATATGCAAAATATATGTCTCCATTTTTTAAGTCTCTCTTTTTTGTTTTAATGTTGTCATCTTTTACATGTTGACATCTGTTCCCTATTTTCAGTGTTTTAGCTTTGATTTATTTTTGTGACTGCCCTATCTGGATTGATATCTGGTTGCTCTGGCCTGTGTTCTAGTCTTCGGTTGTTATCTGATGTTACTGATTTTCTAACCAGAGGACTCCCTTTAGTATTCCTTGTAATTTTGGTTTGGTTTTTGCAAATTCCCTAAACTTCTGTTTATCTGGAAATGCCCTAATTT